TAGACTATTTTTATCATCTGTTGGACCACGCAGAAGATGAACAATATTTTCACCATCTTTTAATACATTAATTGAATCAACTGTTCGAAGTTTTAGGGAAGACCCTAGATCAAATAGACGGGCTGTCATTTTACGTGGTGTGTTTCAACAAATTGGATAAAAATACGACTCTCAACAAGGGTACTCAGGAGAGATTTGATTGGATGATGAAAATAGTCACTCTCCGTCAAAATCCAAAGTTTTCATTCTCAGTACAACACTAACTAATGTGAAGAAATCTGTGAATATTTTCTGGTTCATTATTACACTGGTTTTGTACGCCTGGTTCAATGATGCTGTCAGAACAGAATCAGAGAATTAATTTAACAGCCCCTAATGATTTCATTCACACATATTATATACACGAATAAAAGTGTATGTTTTCTTTTAATTTATGAGTTGGTGTTATTTCCATTGCCCTGGACACTCTTCTTTGATTCGTAATAAAGAGATGATATATTTAAATAATCACACCATTAACATAAATTCAATAACCTCTTGTTTATTTATAGATACATATCAAATATCGATCGAAAGTATTGAGCGATTTTCTACTGGCCTCGTGCGACGGTCGTTGTGTTTACCGGTATGTCCCTAAACGTTTCACATCCTGTGTTCGAATTATATCTTAATTAATTTTCCACTGAACCATTGAAAACACAGGCTTCCATGAAACTGTTGTTTTTCCCTAAAGCCCTTTCCATGTACAACATTACCGGTGTTTATTATGTTAAATGTGGTATTTTGGTGCATAAATTCCATGATCTTGATAAATAACAACACAGTTGACATTATTACGTCAACCAAAATTCGGTTTTTAGGAGTTTTATTGGTAATAATAGAAATTAAGTTGAATTTGATACAATTTATAAATCAGTTTCCAAACACTGAAATAGTCCAAGTTGTATTTTTGTAACAAAAATGTTATGCTGTATAGGCTTTAAAAAAACACACACTAAAAACCTATTTCTTATTGTTAATTTCCCGTTCGTGTGCAATAAATTAACCAAATTGCTGGTTTACGAAGTATACAGGCAAAGCCATGCAGTTATTTTGGCATGTTTTGAATTCCTATGAATGCATGTAGTTAATTTCCTTAATATGGAGGATTGATGGTGCTATAGGCTTTATTATGTTCAAACACTAAATGATATAATTATGCAGTGAATGTTTAGTGTTATTTGTAAAATATATACAACGTTTCAAATAAGACCTGACACTTTCAAACTTACCTTTCATCATCAAAAAAACCCCCCAAAAAACAACCAATCTTAATTAACAGGTGTGCATTATTGTTTTTTCTTTAAATTGTATTTAGTCTTTCTGGGTTGCTTTTATTCGCTGATAATATTCTCATGGATACCCCTTTTCATCTCTCAACAAAACTCGTTCTAATTCGCAAAAGTCCACCTGCGTGATACTATTTTCTATAGTTTCATATCAGCTGTATGCAAATTAGCCCACGTGCCTTTCTTACAATGAGAAATCCCCGTTCTACAAACTCGGATAAACTATACCAAATTTTGCCGGAGTAAATTTAAAATGTTCACCAACAAAGACATTCAACGGTCAATAATTGAACAAAGGAATTTCCATGGGTTATTTCTTTCTTTCTGTTTTTCATTTTTTATTTTTCAATTTGTACCATGAATTTTGAAAAACAGATTCAATATGAGAAAAAAGATCTACTTGGCCATAACGAATTACATGTAAAAATAAAATAATTACAACATGTGTTGAAGATAGAAAAAATCATTTCATAACTGTATATAAATTTGATACAATAAAATTTGATTTATATCTGTGATATACTATGCTTTGCTTTTGTTTGGTCGGATATTTTGTTTTATTTTCGTTTAAACAATATTTTTTTTTTTAAAGGCAATAAAGAACAAACCATCCTATTTTATCTCATGTTCTCTGTGTTTAATATTGCAATTATCTATAAATAAGATATTGAATAATAAATAAACTGGTCAAAGAAGTTAAAATACAACATGATAAACAGTTAGGAATTATAGTAAAGCGTTATACTGATTTTGCTTAATATAGGGAAAATAAGAAAACATCCATATACATTAATTTCAGGCATGGGTCACATTCCTCGATGATTACAATAATGTGCTCAAAGGACAATATTGGTGTCAGCCATGATTACATGTGTGGTAGAACTGGTTAAACACATCCCAAATATAATTTTAACACAGAGATCATTGCTACGATAGATGCGTAACGAAGATTTGAAGAAACAGAAGTGACACAATAAATGAAAAACAAGAGTTATCCTTCTATATAACTGACTGAAGTAACGAGCGATAACAGATACATGGTCGAATTTCAGCTCACTGATAATTCCGTTGAAGACGAAAAGTTTTTATATGAGACTGTGACAGGATATCTGACACTATACAAGAGAAAACGAGTAAAATAAAAAAGACCCGTACATTTCCTTGTTTTTATTCATCCTATACTTAATAAAAACATGGTAATGCACGGACTTGTTCTATTTTTTTTCGTTTTCTTTTATTCGACCGTGTATCTGTTCTCAGTATCAGTAAGTTATATAGAAGGATAACTCTTGTTCTATGTAGTAGTCACGTATACAAATCAAATTCTTTGTTTTACTTGCTGTATTTTGAACATATTATTTAATACAAGCATTCGAATTATAAATTATATACATTTGAAGATATTAAATACGTGTTTTCTTATATTCGCGATATGAAACATACATTATGCAAGAGCTAAATCTGCATATTGCAGGTCTTTCTTTACACCTGACATGTTACATAAGCTATTAATTAGACATTTATTAACAACTCTCGATGGCATCGGAGACTCGAGATTTTAACTAGATTAGAACGGTTCGCCATTTAAAACTTTAAAAATGGGAAAGTCTCGAATATATCTGTGCCCTGGTTACCACAATGCTGACATCTTGTTAAAACTACCAACAGTGATAACTTGGCTCAGAACGAAGTAATTTGAATGAAAGTTTCAAAATGTTCATTTTACATTATCTATTTTTGAGCTATTATAGCAAGAATGGTCAACTCTTTATCTAAATCTTACATAATGTATCTTTCTCATCTTATTATCATGTAACTTCATATGATCATCTATATTGTCATGTATGATATGCCTCTTGGAAAAATAAATAAATAAAAATAAATAATGTATCAGTATTACAAAACTTCATTAGGCATTCACGGTTTACAATAGATATAAATTCAGTGTGAATAGTGGAACTTGGTCCGCAAATTCGTTTAACCAGGACTGCCTACGTTAATCTATATAACAAACTATACATACTGTACGCGGTCATTCATCAATATTAGGGGGTTGGATGGCCGAATCGTTAGTTCGTGCTCGTTGTATCACAGGGTCTGTCATTGAGTCAGCTGGTATGCTTTCGATTCCCCGTTTGTACGTCGTCTGTCCTGCCTCGTTGGTTTTCTCCGGGGTCCCCGGATGTCTCCCATTGCTAAAGACCCCTACGCGCAAGCGGATTATTGAAATAAAATTGAACCATGTGTTAGTTCGAAATGACCTAGTTTGTGTCGAGCGGACAATAAACCCCATCTCTCTCTCTCTCTCTCTCTCTCTCTCACAGTAATTTTCCCGTGCATGGAACAGCTTCCCCCGTATTATATCCTCCCAATAATTCTGACAGCGTATCAATCCGTTAAAGGGCTATTATGAAAGATTAGATAATGAATTGGTCGTTCTCGCTATAATAGTTAAAAATAGATAACGTAAATAGTATATATGCTGAACATTTCAGTCAAATTGCTCCACTCTGAATCGAGATATTAGCTTTTGAATTTAAGCTAGCCTCGATCATCATTACTAAAGTCGGTGCGATAAAACAAAGTCTCGATTATCCAATTTTACATTTAATTCCGTTAAAGGGCTATTATGAAAGATTAGATAAAGAATTGGCCGTTCTCGCTATAATAGTTAAAAATATATAACGTTAATAGTATATATGCTGAACATTTCAGTCAAATTGCTCCACTCTGAATCGAGATATTAGCTTTTGAATTTAAGCTAGCCTCGATCATCATTACTAAAGTCGGTACGATAAAAACAAAGTCTCGATTATCCAATTTTACATTTAATTATTTTTCATAAAATGTATTTCAATCCGCTAAATATTGCTTGCTAGCGAGGGCATCGAGAGCTGATTATGGTTTGGATAAGTCAATTAATGTCTAATTAATAATTTAGATAACATTTCAGGCCTAAAGAAAGGCTTGCAGTAGGCAAATTTAACTCTTGCATAATGTATGTTTAATAAATCAGAAATTCAAACAATGAAATGCTCTACTCTAAACAAAATGCTCAGATTAGTCGTGGCGCTATTTCATATAATAGCAAACCGAATTGGCTAATATTAATTAATAAACCAAGTGGTTAAGTTCTATTTAAACATTGAGTTTTGCAATGATTTAACGGTAAATTTCATGGTTTCGTCTACAACCTAACCCTAATTAGCAAATCATATGAAAATTTCGTGGGTTATAGAAGCGTCGGCAGGCTTTTATGCATTGTTGTATTCATCTATTTGTAATACCTTTTGTCCTACCATTGTGATTAAAGTTATCCATCAATACTTGTTCGGAATCTTTGGTCAAATAACCGTTTCTCTTGAATTAGACAAAGAATAAAGTTTTCAGGAACTAAAATTCTTCTTTATTCAAATAATTTAATGTCAGTGATTTCTTTAACAAATCAGCGCAACCGTTTTTGTGATCGTCTGTAAATAGCCACCGTTTCCGCCCCAGTTGACGATAGCTCACAAAGGCGAGAAACAAAGGACTAACATGATTTCGCATCACGGTTGACAAGGGAGGAGTCAGACGCGTGCCATATGCATATGAATGAGTATGGCACGCGCGCAAGGGTATAAAAGCTTTTGCATCTCCATTTGTGTCGGATCCACCATTATAACAGAACGGGGCTGTGTGCAAGTTATTTTTAACATCTAGTTGATTTGTCTTAATCCTGAACAGCTAAATACGTGACGGATGTAACGACATTAGTTTTGGGATACTCAACAATTTCGCTACTAATTTCATGCTTTTAAGCCTCCCAGGTGCGATCACCATACTTTATTTCGATGTAGTAACAATTATTTCGAACTATGTGTTTTATTTATGTTGCTGCTTTGGTCAAATTATAGACCAGTTGGATGGTTACTAATATTCTGTTTGTTGGAACCTCAGTGCCTTGATTTGGAGGACCCCTGGTCCTACATAGTGGCTAAACCGACGGTGCCTTATTCAGCGAGGACATATAGTATATACAGACATGCCGCGAGGATTTCTAGTGAAAAGATTTAAGCAATCTTCGACGTTTTCGTATCGAGAGCGCCGAGTAATTGAAGATGATAGAAGCGACAGTGGATCAGAACAGGACTTTAATTACTCAGGTTTTGGTTCTCCGGATTCGGGTTATTCCGCCAGTCCTACAACTAACATCTTTCGGGATAAAGAGTTCCATGCCACGGATAAAGACAACAACAACATCATTTCGACCAGCCTACCCTTCACTAGCTCTGTTAATATTAATTTACTACAACAATGCCCATCACCAGTTTATTACACAGCTTTTGATCGATTAAACCTTAGTGGGGATTCACCTTTTAGGAAGACAGGTGTGCAAAGTGAGAACAAACTGCCATTACCCATCCCCACAAGTCCAAACCGAAAGAGACCCGGCGAAACGGAAAAGAGAAATATCATTTGTAAAAGATCGAAGGCAATCCGCAGGATCAATTTTGATTTAGACACAACTTCTCCGGTGTCAGGTACCATTATAAAAGAGTTTTCCGATGGCGAAGAGGGGCGAGTGGTATGCGGCGACATAGAGCCAAGCTTCAATTTAGTGGAAGTCACCCCTGAGGCAAGGGCAGAATTAGAGAAAATTGAAAACAAAATTGGCGACTATATTTGTCAGCTGTGTAAAGAGTTTCACGAAGACGCCTTTCAACTCGCACAGCACCGCTGTTCTCGTATTGTTCATGTTGAATACCGATGTCCAGAGTGTGATAAAGTTTTCAATTGTCCAGCTAATTTAGCATCTCACAGAAGATGGCACAAACCAAAACCAAATGGAACAAAGTCACCAATCCCCTCTCGAATATTACCAGGATCTGAAACAAAGTCAGATTCCTACTTAGGACAAAAGATCAACTTTGAATTAAACGACAACCACGTCTCTTTAAATGCAAGTGCCATCGATCTCCGAACCACACAAAATGAAGACGGTCATTTTGAATGTGAAACATGCGGAAAAAAATTTAAAAGACAAGCATACTTAAAAAAACACGTATTAACACACGTCAATGACGTGTCGTCAGCTTGCCAATATTGTGGTAAAATATTCTTTAACGAGACTGTTCGCACCAAACACGAGTCACAGCATAGCATCAGTAACACGGAGTTCATGTGTAAAGTTTGTGATTTATCTTTTCCCAGTAAGGGAACCCTAGATAAGCATTCCCGAATGCACAATAAAAACAATTTTCCCTGTCGATTTTGTCCCAGTTCGTTTTACAGCTCACCGGGTTTAACGAGGCATATAAATAAATGTCATCCTTCCGAAAATCGCCAAGTCATTTTATTACAGATTCCAGTGTCTCGTCCTTGTTAACTTTTTATCTCTAGAAACCGAAGGTATGTTAATGTTTATATGCAGTATATCACGTCCTTTCTTAATGCCTTTAACAAATGTTTATCTTCATGAATGTCCACATAAAAGCCTTAATTATTATTTATATTTATAAATGATATATGTCTATATAAATGAAAATGTTTATTTTTTTATTAATATTTATACATGTATGTCCAACACACACACACACACACACACACACGCCACCACCCACACAGCCTACACACCACTTTGCCTTGAATTGTAAGATCCGTTTTACAATAAACAAATATGACCTTTAACATTTTTTCTGCTACAGATTGTGAATTTTTAAGCATATTTAAATAGTTAGTAATAAACTGCCCCTCTCTATAACTTGTCTTTCCATTAATCAAATGATCCTTTATTCATAATAAAGGCTATACTAAAGAAATATCTTTTGTCAAAAGTTAAAACTCTGACGGGCGGAGCTTCCACACTTCGAGGGTGTGTTAGTGGGTTTGAAAAACCCATCAATCAAAAATTAAAGCTCGTCTCAATTTAATTACATGGTGGTGTCTAACAAAGACAAATATCTTTGTTATGTATCATTTTCCCTAAATCTGATAGTTATGTAAATATATCAGTTAAGGTCCATATATTTAGGATGCCTTTTTGTGACGTGAAGCTTATTATTGTAAGGCTGATACATAGATTACTTAACCAATTATTTCTATGATACAAATCAATACAAAACAGTAAAATCTATTTTACTTCTCATATTTCATATCTATAGATAAAACTCGTGCCTTTATGTCTCGTCGACAGCTTGCCCGCGTTCCACGCCCCTTCGTTTTATTTATTTATTTATTTATCCGAATACCTAGTCCCATTTACACACATTTTATAACACAATTTTATTTCTATTTTATTGATACATTTTGCTATAATTGCCAGTCATTGAATAACTATGTTGTATATATATGTTGTTTTTCACATTTTACACAGATTATTTAATTAAGTCGTCTCTCATATTTGATTATTGTTTATTCCAATGTCATGTTAACAAATTATGTGCAATAACAGTCACCCCCGTATCTTTATTCAGCTATACCTAATACTCTTAACTGGTAGTTGTGTTCAATACAAGTTCTTAAGTGTGGATTTCATGCTACAAGAGTTTGGTGTGTTGATTTTATTGGCGAAATGTATATCTTTCAACAGTTGAAATATTTTACGTTCGCTGATTGAGTCGATTTTGTGTCCAAGTGTCGACAGTTTGTGTATGTCAAAAACTACTAAGCTTAATATGTTGAAATTAAATCGTGCAGGAATAGATTGCTCAATCTCCATAGAAAAACTCCTCATCGGATAAACCTAATTCAACGCTTTATTTAAACAAAATTAAAGGAGCCATGTTCGTGATGTTTCCTTAACTGTCCTTGAAGGGGGGGGGGGGATCCTTTACTAAAGAAATACTTTCACAAGGTTAGTCTTAAATGCTAAAGTTGTCCAACAACTCTTTTGCAACAGAAAATGTCTTTTACCATAATACATTCAACGGTTATTTCTTAAAAGTGTATTGAGTTAATTATTCTAAAACAAACACCCACACATTTTGAAATGGACACACTGCTCTATTGATTATGTTATTTTGATTTCTAAGAAATAATGTTTTGTTTCAGAAATTGAAAAGACCGAGAAAAAGGGGATAGGTATAAGACCCTTCTCCACTGAAATGTTGTATAACGCCAACTAAAATAATATTTTATTATCAATTTTGTATTGTAAATAATTATAAACAGTATTTGGTGACGTATTTGTTCATCACAGTGATGTTTTCAGTGCCTCTATAAGTATTACAGTAAACCCTTTTTTATATTATGTTAGTATAAAACCAATGTCAGCAGTTGGTATGAAGTTAATAGTCGATGTCTTCTTGTGCATGTATGTGCCATTATAAGCATTACGATGTTATTTTATTTTTCTGTATGAATTGTATAATTATTAAATTGTAAAAACATCCATGTGTTTGAAATAAAAATAATGAGCTTATACAGCAGTAGTAGTTTATTCGTTACATGACGTATATGAACAATTTAAATACTTCGAAGAGTTTTTATTAAATCACCAAATTGTAGTGCTAAATATCAGTAGGTACGGATTCAGATTGCATTTAGGAAACCAAAGTATGTTTAATCGTCCATGGTTATATTTGGTGTGCCGTCAAATCCTTCACTGAAATGGAATGTCCACGTCCACACTCACCCCTTTAATGTCTTCTTGCAAACCATGGGCAAATTTATTTGAAATGTCTCAAATATCACTAAATAACCAAACAAATGCACTAGACTAGTCAATTTAATAAGAAATCGGGGGGGGGGGGAGCAACCCCAAATTGCAAGAAAGGTTTTTTTTAATGGTTTCTAGTAGCGTTGGGTGTACTGAGTGACAAGTTTACTAAAATGGGAGTACCGGAAAGTCCCAAAATGTTAGGGTAAATGCCAGGTTTTTTTTGTAAGCCATTTCCTTTAAAAGGTATAACTTTAAAGAAACACAAACTCGTTATTTTTTTTAGAGAGAAACCCATGAAACTGACGCCTTTCTTAAGGTCAATCATTCATGATCTCTTGTACCATTTTCGGGGGTATCCTAGTCCCTTACGCCATTTTTCGGGGTATCCTATCCCCACAACCTGCGACAGAGAACCCAAATTTACGAATAGGCCTGCTTCATCATAATATAGCAAATTTGTTATCTGAACAAGGTCCATGTCTTAACTAATGTTTTCTGGGCAATATTTCATTTGGAGATATGCTCATTGGTGGTAAGTGGTTCCTTATAACATTTTCGGGGTATCCCCTACCCCAAAATATGTGGCAGCGCGAACCCCAATTTACAAATATTTGTAACTCTGTACTACTTCATCATGACACATTTGGTATGTTCATGTTTTCTTTGGAGGACAAAGTGAAGTAAGACGAGCAGATAGGTATGCAAGAAATTATTTAATAATTTGCTCTACACAGAATGAAGCGTGCTGCCGTCTATGATTTCTAAAACACGTGGAGTTGCTCTTCATTAACTGAGCAACTTTGCTAATAATTGGCTGGGCTATACAACGTTATAGTTTGCATCATATTGACTGTTATGCAATTCGTGGAACCTCAAAGTAAGGCCAAAATTCAATACACGTAGCTGATTTATGTTGTACAGGGAGCTGAAGTGGCTCTGTGGGCTGGCTGGCTAACCTGGGGTCACGTGTTTGATCACGGTGTTGGCCGAGAATTTTTTTTTCGGGCAAGAGCAGCACAGTGGGCCGTTAAATTTCATTTCAAGCTGCTCAGGCTATTTGAAATAAAAATGTGACTTTTTCATTTCTATTATACTGTATGGGAAGGCCACTGTGTAATAATTCTTGGAAGTTTGCATGTCAAATCACATTCCTTGTATGACTTAATTTATATGCCACATAGTAAAGCCAGCTGTTTAAAATATGGGATAGAATTGTTCTACAAATATAAGCCACTAAATTTTTAATTAAATTATTTGTCTATCATATTGTACAAACAGTTAATTACGAATTTTGAGATTACCAACACATTTTGGGGTTATTTGAGGTACCACAGCACTAGCCGGGTCTTTATTTCCAAGGTCTTTTTGGCGGAATGGACACATTTGTTGTTGTTGTTTGTTAGTTGTATTTTACGTTCGCTTCCACCGAGGTGATATCGCAGACAATAACATGTTATGTATACAAGGTGCAATAATTTACAATGTGATTAGTGAAAAAAGAGGATAATTAGGTTTTTATATATATGTACAGAAGACAATAGATAACAGCAATAGACATGAGATAACAGGTGCAAGAATAAAAAAAGTGACAGGAGACGTTTACAAACAGACGAATTTGTGACAAAACTGACATGAACATGGACGAACATTTTGACAGAGATGTATACAAGGACATTTTGACTGAACAGACAATGTGGACGAACATTTAAACATATTATGTACATATATATAGTTATTGGGTCATTTGTATTGGTCTGGTCCTTCTGTCCGGTTGAATGGCAGGGCGGCACAACTCTTCCTTGGGGCTTGTTGGTGAGTGTGAGTCCTGGTCCATTCTTTCTTCCATTTGGGTTTGTTGTCCGGTATGGTGGCGTTGTTTCATCTTTGTTTCTGTTTTTCATTCCTTTTTTGTTGGTTCTCTGAAGGAATAATCCAGCACCTGAAAAAGAAAGCTAGAGAAAAGAGAGTATTTGGTCTTACTGTGATTTTTATTTTTATTTCGTCTAGTAAGGCTTCGGGGGGGGGGGGGGGATTACTTAAAGTTTGAGAATTGTGTTGGATTTTAGTGGAAATATATTGTGGATTGACATTGATTTAAAAGATACTAGTTGATTCATGGAAGAAACTCAGACAGTTGTCGATCTTCCATGGTTTACCTATGTACTGATTGGGCTTCTCCATCTCATAGTAGCATTGGGCAGTTTCGTCTATCATTATTCGTATCATGTCCAGTAGATTTTGGTGTTCTGTGTCGTTGAGGTGGATCTCATCTTCCTGAAGCATCTTTTCTGTAGCCTGTTTCCATTTCTTTTTCTGGTACGAGTATGTGCCCCCGTAGTGCAGTATGGGGTATAGGGCCAGTTTCCTCAGCATGTGCTGATTTAGCCTTTCTTGTATATGAATATACTCGAGAGGATCAGCGAAGTATCTGGGTTTTAGCCTTGGGTATGAAATTATGCAAATGACAGGAATCATCCCATCTCTGCCCTGAATGGCAAGCATGACCTCGATGATACGGTCAGCGAGTGTTTCCGGGTTAGTGTCGGGTTGAATGTCTTTGCCCCCGATATAGACAAGTGCTTGCATTTATTCTTAGTACGGTATCCCAAATATCCCCAAAACGTGTTGGTAAACAAGTATTGATTTGGTATGTGAGTTCCCATGTGTCAGTGGACCGCCTTCTCATGTAAACCTCCAACGATTATTACACGGTAAGCTTCACATACAGTATAATTGAAATGAAAACAAAAAAGCACACAACCTTATTTCAAATAGCCTCCGCAGTATAAATAAATGAATTGGGATTTAACGCCCCACTGTTCTGCACCGACGGGGCTAATGAGGACAGATGTGCAGCATAAAGCTATGGCGGTATATTAGATTTAAAATCTAGCATGCTATCGCCTAATTTCTAACTTCTATTCATCATGTAATTTCTATCTAACTTCTATTCATGTAATTTCTTACTTCTATATTACTAAGACGAAAAATGTCTGTTTCATTGTCGCTTTACATGTTAAGTATGCACGTCAAACAAATTTTGAATTTTGATACTTCTACCAAGCAACCATCATTATGACGTCGTTTCGTGTTGCCACTGGCGATTGAGCACCTGACCGGGACCATTATGTTTATACAAACGAGTCGCTCTTCGTCAGGTTCAATGGATTGGCGGAGAGTTAAAATTGAAAATAACATCGAACGTGATATGGTTTGCAAATACTATTTAAAATATAAGCTAAACAGCATTTGTTCATTTGTTTAGACAAGTGTAGGATTTGGAGAAATTTATTTGATTTTTTTTTACAGTTGAGTCAATTACTATTTATATACTGTTGGTCTATATTTTATTTCTGCTCTAAAAAATGTCTTTATATACCATCCGAACGAATAGCCACTGTCCATACCAGACCCCCGTCCTGTATCGATGGCAAAGGAGGGAAAACCAAGCCGGAAGAAATCTGTTATATCATAGAAATAGATTTCTATGGGTTATATAACATCGTCAACTAGTATACAAGCTTTATAATATTTCTGACATTATTAGTTTCGCCCCTGTGATTTGCGGAGGGGCAGTGTCTAGTCGTTCGGATCGGACGAAAACCCTTGGCAGCTGTAAATTCGTAATAAAGGCAGACCGTGGCGCCGCTGTATGGGCTCAATTTCCTCTATGGCGTAAGTTCGTCTTCATTAGCCCAGTTGGTGTAGAAAAGTAGGATGATAAAGCCCATTTCATTTTGGTTTAATTTTGTCAAGAACACCGCTGTCTATAAAATTCCGTATCAGTTCATGCAACTTAAATAATATATTGTTGAAAAAAAAACTACCATAAAGTTAGTCATGTTAATATAATGAAGGCATTAGAAATAGAAACTTCATCGCTATCCACATGACCAGATTATCCCTGTCTCCTTTAAATGACGTTTCATCCCCACAATATGGGGTTTCTAAATTTATATCTTTGAACCATTTCAAGAAAAAAATGATCATTTTAAAGTGATATTTTTGTTGACGCAGTAATAGAATATAGATCAGCAGTATATAAATATTAATATTGGCTTAACTGAACAAATGTTGTTTAGCTTATATTTGAAATAGTATTTGCCAACCATATCACGTTCGATGTTGTTTTCAATTTCAGCATCGATTCCCCGGTTGGGGGTCACAGTGGCTAAGTGGGTAAGACGCTGGCTCGCTAGCCTGGAGGTCGGGTGTTCGATCCCTGCATTGGCCGAGAAAGTTCATCCAGACGTCAGTGATGCAGGACGGAGGGCCTGAGAAGGACAGCTGTCTAGTCGTTCGGATGGGACGAAAAACCGTGTTCACGTGTACATAATGGCGTGAACGTAAAAGATCCCTTGAAGTTGGAATTGGACACAAGAGTTACAAGCTGTTCGGGCCCAGTTCGGAGCAGAACAGTAGGACGTTTAAACCATTTCATTTCATTTCTCGATTCAACCATTCAACCAGACGAAGAGCGAGACGTTTATATCAACCCAATGGTCCCGATTAGGTGCTCTTACTAGCCAAAGAAAGACAGATAATTAGCCTAGACTAGATGATAATTAAGTTATAGAGTGATCTAACGAATATGAATAGTTTAAAATCTATATAAACTCATAAACTGCCTTTTTTGTAGGTTGTTCAGAATCAGTTCTATTCTAGATCATGATCAAATCAGAATGTTGAAAAGTCAATTTTGTTTTAAAATTTCACAGAAATCTTAGAAGTTTTTTCTTTAAAAAAAAATG